GCTTCTTTATTTTGGTAGCTTAATGGATATAAAAATTCATAACCTTAATACAGCTTGGTCACTGCTTCCCTGGATGGATAATTGATCAGCAGGGACTGAAGGGGCGGGGGGAATCTTTTTCCTACATTAAAAGCTATCATTTTAAGCCTTTTTTTGCTTCACCTTTTTCCCACTCAGTACAATGATATACACATTTTCATCAACTTTGTGGAGGATCACTCACTTGATTTTTTTATAGCATCAGATATCCTATAAAATGTGCCACTAAAGTAGAACACATTATTATTTATTGTCTGTGTACATATTTAGATTCAGAATCAAGTACAAACTAGTTTGGCTGCTTTGATTGATTACCAGTAAGTTCTTTTTTGTTTTTACAGGAAGAAAACCACAGAAATTATTTGGCTGGAGATGACTTTTTTTTTTTTTTGAACTGATTAAATCAGTCCAGATCACTCTAAAATTTCAAACTATTTAGATATTGCTAACTTACGGAGTAAGTGAAAAAAACCCAAACATTGCTTCAAAAAACTGATTTCAGTCGGTGTTCTTTATTGTCCTGGAAATCAAAACCAAAACCCCAAATATAAAGCTTCTCCCTCCCCCCAACTTCATCTTTGGCATTCTTCAACATCAACATGATGGTGATTTTGCTGGCATGGAGAGTCACTGTCCTCTGTCCCCACACATTTGACAAGTACCAGCACTCCGGGCATACTGTACAACAAATAAATACATTAACAAGACCATGTCCCCCTTCATTTCAGCCCAGGCATAAGAGACAGGTTACTTAAAATTCAAGTGCCAGGAAAGTGCATTGTAAAAGGGAAATATTTTCAAGTGAGTTCCGTTTGATCTTTTTTTATAGGGGCTCCAACTAGCTTCTCTGCCTTCCTCCCCAGACCCTGGAAACCAATTATTCTCAGCACAGAGGCCACAGACCAGGTTGAAATGGCCCCTTTTTATTTTTAGGGGATATAATGTCAGCCAGGAGACTAGTCAGTTGTCACATAGTATACTTAGCACACTTCTCTCTCACGCACACATACATTAGATTTCCCTTTGGAGAATGCCTGGATCTTTGAGTCTGACTCCTGGAAAGGAATTAGATCTGGTTGTCGTCCAAATCCTTCAGCTCTGACAATGGAATAACATCACAGGGCCACCTCATTTCTCACAGACAGCCCCGACAACCAAGTTTTTAAAGAGCCTTCTCTTCCTTGTCCTCTGTCTGCTAGCATTTCGCAGCTTCTCCTTTCTTTATGCCGTGTGCATAAAAATTCTCAAAACCTTCCCTTCCATTATCCAGAAATGGACTAACTTTGATTTTTGAAACGTTTTTGAAGTGCTGATCTTTGGGGGCAAATATGTCCCAAAGACAAAATGGAAACAATTAGAGTCTCTGCCTCTTCTCACCTCCCTATCCTGAATCTGCATTACTACATGGAGGTGTAAAAAATTATCAGCCGGGTTGGCCTCTCCTTTCTTAGGAACAACATTGCAGATAGAAGTGTGTGTGTGTGTGTGTGTGTGTGAGAGAGAGAGAGAGAGAGAGAGAGAGAGAGAGAGAAAGGCTAGAGGAAAAGGCGCACAGCTCTCCCCCAGGAAAGCCTCAGTTCAGCAGATGGGAGGGGACCTAGGGTCGCCTCCCTCGGTCTGAGCGCAGTGCCCCAGCCTTTCCTCTTGCCCCTGCAGCAAGCTCTGCGTCCTGGAGTGGTGCCAGGACTCCAGACCGCGCCTGGCAGGTCGGTGGGTGGAGGGCCTCGGTGTTCTCTTGGCAGAAGACGCCCATTTGGAGGGAAAACTCCCTTTATTTTCCTGGGACTTCGAAGCCGCCCCCCGCCCCCACTCTTGTCCCCTATCATTTTTACGCTGATCACACTCATGATGATGAACTTGCAGCTCAGCTTCCTGCCTCCCGCTTGACCTGGGAGCACCAGCAGGCTGCCGGCCTCGGCCTCAGCTCTCCCTTCCTCTTGCAACCCCGGGGCCTTGGGGCGCCGGTGGGGGCTCGAGCGCACCAGGTCTGCAGGAGGGGCGCGCAGGGGCGCGGGGTCCCACCGGGGAGCGCGCACGGAGCGGCGTCTCGGCCGCCCTGCTTCCTGGAGCTGGTGCTCCTTTGACCCCAGTGGCAGTCCCTGTCACTGCACCGCTCTCGCTCCCTCCGGCTCGCCGCGCCCTCGCCGCCTCTCCTCGCCCCCTCGCTGCTCTCTCCCCAGATCGAGGCTGCTCCCGTCCTTTCTCCCCCCACCGCTCGCGCCGCGCCCCCGAGTCCCCCGCCCCAACCCGCGGCGGGACCTCCGGGGTCGAAGGTTCTGGCCCGCCGGCGCCCCGCGCCGCCCCCGCGCGCCCCCCGCGCGCCTCCCGCCGGCCCCCGCAGCTCCGCGATGGATCGCCGGCGAGCCCCGCGCTGAAGGCATCCCGGGACCCGGAGCGCAGCCCGGGAAAGGTAATCCGCCCCGGGAATGAGGCGGAGGGCGGGGGAGGGGGGAGGAGGCTGCCGGGCGCCCGGTGCCGAGCGCGAGAGGAAGGGAAAAAAATGCACACACAAAGCGGAGCCGGGGTGAGAGGTGCCTTGTCAGAGGCGCGTGCGGGGGGCTCGGCGGCTGCGGACGGCGGCTGCCGGGTGCCCCTGACATTGCGCGAGCGGGCGCTCGCCGGGCAATTCGGAACCCAGGGAGGGCATGTTTTCCATCTCCAGGAGAAAGCGAATTCTTTTTTAGGAGCTGTCTTCCTCCTCCTTCCCATCCCCCCCAGACCTCGGCCCCCGACCTTTCGGGGTCCTCACCTCCCCACCCCCTTCTCCGCCGGGATTTCTTCGGTGGGGAGCAGGGGGTGTCGGGGAGAGCGAGAGCGAGAGCGGCTGGGCTGGGGGTGGGGACGCGGGCGCCGCGATGTGTTTACTCGAAAGTCCTGGGGTTGTGTGTTCGAGCCTCCCCGGCCTAGGCCCGGTGCATTGTGTTGGCGCGAGCCCCGGGCTGCCCGCGGCGGCCCGAGCGAGGTGCGGGCCGGGGAGGCGCCGCTCAGCTTTGTGCTCCGGCTGCTGCGCTCGCCGGCCACCCCCCCACCCGGGAGCGCCGCGCGCGCGCCTCGCGGTGGCCCCGCGCCCCAACCTGCTCCCCGCCGCGCCCCGGGTCTCCGCGGGCGCAATCCGGGGAGTGAGCCGGCGACCCCGGCGGGAGCCAGGCAGGGCCGGGCGGCCGGCGACGGGCAGCTGGGAAAAGTAACCTTTGCCGCCGATTCCTTCCCGACCGAGGCTTGAGTTTCTTGGCTATTTACGTGCGCCCGGGCTCTTTGTAAAGCCTCGAATTCTGGGCTTTGAAGGCCTAAGAGGTGAAGGGGGCATTTTTCTGGAGATGGGGGAGGGGGCTGGACTCCACCAGCAATAAAAGAAATTCAGGATGCCCTAGCGAGGCAGATTTACATAGCACATTTACCTCCTCCACGCGCCCCAGAGTAAGTGCAAATGGGGGTCATGAAAAATGTGTAATTGATTTGAGAGGCTGCAAACACACACACAAACAGATCGGGGAGGAAAAAACAAACAAAACTTTAAGTGAAAGAAAAGATTTCCAAGAGGAGGAAATTCTGTGGTCTCCACACCCCCTTTCCCAAAGCTCCCCGACCCCCTGCCTTCCTCTCTCCGGTGCTCCTGGGAAGCGGCCCGGCGGCTCCGGGGCAGGGTGCAGGCGGGCAGCGGCCGCAGCTCCGGGCACGGGCTCAGCTCTGAGGGTTCGGGGATGCCAGCCCCGGAGGCTGACGTCGGGGGCGTGGGGCTGTGATGCTCCAGCGAGGATGGCGCGGTGTCAGAGCCATTGGCCGCCGGTGGTCATCAATCAATTCAGGGCTGGGGGAGAGAGAGAGAGAGAGAAAGAAAGACAGGCGTCCGGCGGAGCCCGGGGCCGCGAGCGCCAACGCCAGCAGTGCCAGCAGCGCCAGCAGCAGCAGCAGCAGCAGCGGCCAAGGCAACGGTGGTGGCAACCGGGGACTGAGCGAGTAAGGCGAGCTGGTGCTGCAGGAAGGAAGGGGGAGCTGTCTCCCGGACGGTTCGGGGCCGTGAGCTCGGAAGGCAGGGCGAGTGTGCGCGTGTGCGTGTGCATGTGTGTGCATGTGCGTGTGTGTGCATGTGCGTGTCTGTGCATGTGCGTGTGTGCATGTGTAGTAGTAGTAGTAGTAGTAGTAGCCGCCGAGCCACCCTCCCAACTGCTCACCCTAGATTTAAAACAAACAAACCAATCCAAAGTAGAGAATTCCGCGCCCCCCGCCCCACCATATATAGACTCTACTCCTTGCCAGAGGCGCGGGAGAAAAGTCCTGCCCGTCCTCTTTGAAAGAATGTGCCAGGCCGGTGTCCGCAGTGCTGGAGACAAGTTCAGGTGTAAGTGCAGCGGGAGGGAGGGCAGAGGCACGTGGAACTTTGTCTCCCTGTTGAAACCCAGGCGGGTTGGCCGCCTCGAAGTCCTGCGGGCATCCCTCGGTGATGCAGGGATGAGCCACCGGAGGTGGCTGCTTAGGCGCGTGCGTTGAGAAAGCGCTGGGTTAGTTCAGCAGAGGGGTGAGAGAGCGAAATTTGGGGGAGTTGGTGCCAAGGAGTTCCACAGGCTAGCCAGGTTGTCAGGCGGTCTAAGGGCGAGCGATTAAAATGAACACGCTTGTTTCAAGAGGAAATCGCGAGCTTCTTTCTCATAGGCTATGCGGTGCGGTGCATGGGTTAGAGAGGTCGTGAGTTGTAGCTTTGAAACTTTTGGTAAATTGGACTTCTAGTGTCTAGGAGGTGGAGACAGTTATTTAATCCTTCAGTTTTTAATCCTTTCATTGCCAGCCGAGTTTAAAATGTTTTCCAAATTGGATTCCTGGAAAAGAACAATTGCTCGTTGCACAGCTTAAGGAATACAAGAAGTGATTGCTGTCTAGGAAATGCAAAATGTGAACACATGATTTTTTTTTTTAAGAGAAAAACTAGCACCAGCATGAATGGTTGGCAGTGTCAGATCCTTTTAGATTTTTCTTCTGGGATTCCTGGCATATATTACTTGGTTCCTTTCTTCTGTGGAGCAAATGTGTTGAAGTATAAAAGGAAAATTAAAAAAAAAAAAGCACGAGTCTGTTTCAATATTTTATATGAAAAGTAATGTACGTGTGATGAGGGTGAGACACTCCCACAGCTGATTAATTGGCAGGTTTTACTGCCTAAATCCAGGAACAAGGTGATGCAGCTTCCTGACAGTTTTGGGCATTAAGTTTATCATTCTGTCTCCTTTCAAGCTTTCTCAAAATTTCTCACACTTCAGGAGGGGAACATAGTCCTCTGTCTCTGACAGTATTGCTCTGGGTTTGTCTGTAATAGTCTCAGGGTATGTTCATTTTGAGATGTGAGTGAGTGAATATAGTGTTTTTAAAAAATCAGCCTTTTCTTGACATGTCTGTAAAGGTTTCCGCAAAAGTTTTGAAGCTCTCTGACATTTTCTTCAAAGGACTCCAGATTAAAGAAGATTAGACGCTGCAGGTGCACTGTTTCGATAAAACATTTGAAAGAGAACATGGTAAAGATGAATTCAAATGAGGTGCCAGCCACCCGTTTAGTCCTGCAGAGTTTCAGGGGCCTGTGCCTGCTGATGAAACGATGTTCTGTTTGTCTTGCGGGCAAAGGTGTGAACAGGCTCCGATGTTCACTTAATAGAAAGGCAGTTTTACCTTGACTTCAGGATACTGTGGACCTTCTAAGAGTGTGACTTGATCACCTCCTAAATCCTCTGTCTTCTGGGCATCAAATAGGAGGGACTAATGCTAACTACTGTAAGTCTTTGCATAGGTATTTGCATATTAAGTGTGCATGTTTTATTGTTAGACCTTCTTACTTAGTTTAATTAGCAAGTTAACTCCAGAAACATTTAACCAGTTTCTGGCAGAGGGTCCAGAGATGGTGACTGGGAGGTCACAATGGTCTAGACATGAATTTTTTTTCCTTTGCTTCTTAATGTTCTGTATTTCACACAATAGACATTGATGGCAGGAGCATAAGAATTGCCATGTAATTTTTACTCCACTGTCTAATTTATGCAAACAGTAAGTTCTTGCAGTCTGAAAATGTGTATTTTTTCCCCCTCTGTGCTTTGATGGCTAACATTCTTTTTAATGACAGTCATTTCTATAACAGGAAGATGTTTTCATTTGTATTTACTTTTCAGCGCAGCGCAATTATGCAGTTTTGCGCTTCAGTAGTGTCTCGGTACTTTGTATCTCAAAAGAGAATTACAGTACTTAGAACAGGACTGCAATTTGAAGCAGGTGTTGTGTTTTACTGTTATGCAAAATAACAGTAAAATATAATTGTGGGGGAAATTAAGGAAACAGCTGCAAACTTGGTATGAAAACTGCTACATTATGATTTGTAAGCAGTTCTTAGCAATATCTTACATCAGAGGAGCAGAGAAAGATTTTAATTTAGTTAATCCTACCAGCCTGGGTGTCTATCAACTGGTGCTAAAAGGACTCATACTTCCCATGAAGTTAGGAAGAAGAAACAGAACCCAAAGTGATACTTTGTTTAAAATGCCAGAGCACCAGGGATTCCTCTCCTGGCAGTGCTGTTGTACTTTGGGAACTCAGGCAAGGTGGGTATTATTGAGCTTGCTTTGCTAATATGAAAAAGCAATGATTTGAGTAGAACACTGTGGAATTTCTTAGCCTGGCTAGCATATGGAGGAGTACACAAGCCCCGGGTTGTAAAATAATAAAATAAATGGCCTATGGCAGGCCATCTGCCTTTTGCTCGATGTTTAAGGTGTTTCATGCCAGATTTAAATCTAATCTTATTATTCTAAATATTTTTATTTGAGATAACAGCTAAGATTCTCGGAGCTTAATGGCGCACATGACAAGTGTGTTCTTATGTGAACACTTAAAGTAAGATGGTGGGTTACCCAAGGGTTACCCAAGGAGTGTGCTGCCTGCTTCTCCTCTGCTGTGTTGATCAGTTGCAACAGCTTTGTTGCATGGGTTTGCTTTCCTCAGTCTTTGCACATCTGTTATGAAAATAAACATCATCATATCTGAACCCAGTGCAGCAAATAATACATTGACATATATAAAAAGAATCAGAACTAATGGAAAATTAAAAAAAAAAAAAAAGGATGAAGCCTACTACTGAGAACTATACAGCATCAAAAAAGAATATGGTGGCTGATGCAATGGCTGCCTTGCTTTTTCTACTCTGTCTGGGCTCAAAGAAAGAGGGGAAGTAATGAATGATCTAAAGTGTGGGTGCAAGCCTGGATGTCTTTGACTTTTCCCAGGGTGACTGGAGTGTTTACAGAAATTATGCTGCATTTAGCAACATGGATTTGCCTTGCCATAAAGTTCTTGTCCTGAGTGGAATACATATCTATCCATCCATCTATCCATTCATCCACAAATGAAGCACCGAGTACCTATGGATTTACCTGCTTGTGAAAGAAAAAAATGTGTCGTGCGTACATGATGGTCACACACAGATACCTGTTCTGAGCACAGCATTGAAAATTTACATTTGTCGTTGTGTTATATGACTGTGTTAAGCATTGAGACTTCACATTATTATATGATGCCAACTTTGTGCAGACCAAACATTCCAATTAGCACGGAAGGTTTGGAGGATTCTCCAATTTGAGTAAAAACCATTTATAGCTAGACACCATGGCAACTGTGGATATGCCCCTCCGTAATTCATGTTAAGTGCAATAATTATAATTAAAGAAAAAAATCTTGGTTTAAACAACATTGAGATGATTTGCTAGCAGCCAGTGGTGTCATGTGGTGTGTGATGTCCAGTGTGAAGTGCTTGCAGGGTGGATTCAGGAAGGTGGTAGCTACGAGGCAACAACACATGTTAAGATTTTTCCTGAACCAATATCATGTCCGTCCATTCTATTTGATGTCTTTTAGAAGGGCTTCTCCTTCCTTGTTTTCATTTTATAATTTTTTTTTCCAGAAACGCCCAGCGGTATTGATGAGTAGATCCTTGGGCTCAGAGGTTGGCTGAAACACACCATGCCTGCTTCTATTATTCGCTCCGGAAAGTTGTGAATTGCTCATGCCTATAGGGAGGAAGGATGGCACATGGGATTCCTTCTCAAGGCAAAGTTACCATAACGGTGGATGAGTACAGCTCAAATCCCACCCAGGCATTCACGCACTACAACATCAACCAGAGCAGATTCCAGCCGCCACATGTCCACATGTAAGTATGGCTTATCAGTTTAAAAGAACTAACAATCCGGAAATTGTAATGAAATGAGAGAGTCACTAATGTCTTATATGTCAGGGAGAATAAAAGGTACATAATTTGGAAAACGTGGGTATTTGTGGATCCAAGTACAGCTCGGAGGGCTCCCCCTACATCTGGGTAACATTTTCATTTTCCAAATAGTTTCAACCATACCTGACATGAGATTTTCACAGCGTCTGAGGTAGTAGGTTATTCACATTTTGTGAATAGCAACAGAGAAGTTAAGATACTTGTCTATTGTCACATAGTAAATTTCGATAGAATCTCCTGACCCCTAGTCCGATTTATCTTACATAGTGTTGCTTGCCTCCATGATGAAAATTTCTGTAAAATTTCTATCATTTCCCCCCCACATACATGCATGTCACCCCAGCACCCTTTTTTGTTCAGTTGGGAAATAGGCCTAATTGAAACTAATTGTCAGCCACTGCTAAATCCATTGTCTTCCTGTTGCTAGTGGAACATGTGCTGCATGCTACAGGATTCAAACAATGTGGGGAGCAAAGGATTAAGGGGCACTGGAACAGTTGGTTCCAGGAATTGTACTTTTCTCTCACTCCCTAATAATATTTAAGTCCTGTTGCAACTTAAGGAACAAAAGTGTGGGAGAAATCCAGACGCAAGGATTTTGCAGCACCTGGATGCACACCATCTTTTTTCTGCTTCTCTGCTACAGGATGTGCTGGGCTTTCAGCAGAAGGGAGCAAAAGGTCAGCATCTCCCTTGTTTATTCAAGGCCTGGTGCTTATTCTCTATTAGACCCTTCCAATGTCTAACACAAGTCTTTCATAGTAGGACTAAACCTCTTTGAAAACTATTGTATAATCAAGAGAGAAAGGAGGTTGGGGCTCTGTTGACTGTTTTTGCCATTCCTGGAGAAACTAAACTCGGGGCATGTACAAGTCACAAGCTTCTTTTTCAGTATTTGTTTTATTTGGGCATTTAAAAAATAGGACGACCTCTCTACCTTCTGGCAAAACACACACACACACACACACACACACACACACCCTCACACCCTCACACCCTCAAATTTAGAAACATTAATCAACAAAAAATCTGTTGGTACTTGGGTATTAGTGTAAATACCAGGATGTTACTGTTCAAGTATGTTCTGTGGAGCTACCTCTGATGGGACTTGTATACAGTGGCAACACATCAATAGCAGTACTGGTTAGTGGGGAAAAAAGAAAGAAGAAAAGAGAAAGAAATTTCTGCAGATGGTTACTGCTAGGTTATTTCTCAAAATTTTGTAATTTCTTTACATTAGACTATATTTACAATTATGAAAGATTGCTAGGGTGATTTTAAGAAAAAGTTGTTATGGCAAATATAATTTTTCTTTGTTAAAATGTCTTTTCTGAAAAATAACTGCTCATTTCAAATTCTGCTTTTAATCTGCTTCTGTTGATTTCTTTTTCTTCAACTCTATTGTAGAATTTGTGCAAATGGACAGAGGGCACCTTTAGCTCTGTTTTGTGAAAACAGTATTTTGTATTAGCAAAGAACTTTGTGGATTCTCTTTCTATTCAGGCAAAATTAAGTATGTTTTGCCTCTGATTTCTTGGAAAATCACTGATGGGGAATGTCAGCCTCGTCTTCACTTATTTGTGGCCATAAAATTTCACTGATAAACTGTGCATGCACAGAGAGGTTTTTAAAAATCACGCAACCTAAGAACTGGCCTGCCGACACTTAGCCATGAAAAATCTCAAAAAATCAAATTAGATCCTTTTTGTCAAAAAAAAAAAAAAAAAAAAAAAGACTTGAAAAATGGAGTTTGCAGTGGCAGCCTGGATAGCTGTCTAGCCCTTTTCCCAGACTTCCTGTCTTGAAATTCTTCCTCTCTCTAGGTCCAGCTTGTCACCCCACCTGCATCTTTGCTCTGGCCACACAGATTGGCTCACTGTTGGAGCACGCTGTAGGCCTTCCCATGTCGGTGGCAGTGCCTTCACTGTTTCTCAGAGGGTTCATGCTCTGTTCATCAGATGCCTCAGAGCCACTTCAGCCCCTCCATGTACGGGAGTGGTCTGTGTCCCAATCCAACTGGACTGCGTCCTGCCCTCCAACATGATGTCCCTGCTCATTTGGCATTGACTTTAAACCATACCACCTTCATATAATTTTTCTCTCTCTCTCTCCCTCCTCTCTCTCTCTCCCTTGCAATTATAAATACCTATATCGATATAGATATATGTACATAGATGGGCAATATATCTATAAGCACGTATCTCTGTCTGTATCTCTGTCACCTGCCTTATCCTCTCAGTGACATCAAACATTGCTTGAAGGCAGGGATTGTGCTTCTGAGCAGGCAACAATTGCTCAGAAATGTTGATGAATTGATTGATCTTTTGAGTTTGATTATGCATTGAGATGAGAAATTGTGATTGGAATGTGGAGATTTTCACTGGATTGTGTCTCCCTGTCCCTGCATTTTGTGTTGGTGTGAAGGTGTGTGTTGTCTGGATGCTGGCTCACCTTTATTTTGACCTTATTTCTCTGAACTTGGTGCCTTTGCACAGGGGATGGCCCATACTAGGTGTTCAGATATATTGGTTGGATGCTGTCATGTTCTGTTTCTGTTATACTGGAAAAACAAGAGAGATTGCCCTTAATCTAAATAAAAACTAATTGAAAAACTAATTAGAAAATATCTATAAACTATTTAGTCTAAAGTTCCTTCAGTTTTTCTGAAATTTCCAATGTCATGACAGAGCTTTGCTTTTCTCCCCAAAGATAGTTGCCTTTTCCACTTGAATTGCTGCTCATTTCTTTTGCTTGGGGTTCTTAAAATATTTGTTTTCTTTTTTCACTTCTACCTGAGGTCTGAAGACCCGTGAAAGATCAGTGGGATTGGACTTGCAATCCCGGTCCCTTAAGTGATCTGTTATTCTCTTTCACCCAATTGGAGGTTTTTCTCCACAGTTAAGGAATAGCTCACTTCTTACCCAGCTCAGGTAGGGTCACCTCAGCTTTGTGACCCGCCTTTGGCACTTTAGTTCCCTTCTCTGGCCTTCAGCTACTCACCTGTAGACATTGGCATCAAACAGTAGTTCAGCATCTAAGTTTTAGCTTTGATGTACCAAGGTTAAGATTGCAGCTAAAGCAATATTTACTTGCCAAGTGTGGCTGTTTGGGGAAGCACAGACACATGCAAGCTGGTCCCCATCTTCATGCAGCTTGACACTGATTTCAGAGCTGTCGTCTCAACTGCCTTTAATAAGTTTGCTCTATGGTCTTGGTGAGGGTTCATCCATGAGACCCGATGAGGCTGACGAGCTGCCACCAGGCTTTCTAAGAACCACTGACTTGCAGCTTTGCCTGTGATGTAGGGAAGATTTCTTTTAAAAGAAAGCAATCCTGTGTGACCTTGGGAGAGAAAATTAAAACACAGCTGGAGTTGGCAGGGCAGAATTTAACCCAGAATTTGTGTCCCTCTCTTACCCTTGAATATAATAATAGATGTGTTGATTGAAAACCAACAATTAACAGAGCTTCATTTTTCCACAACTCCTTCATCTATCCCAAGCCAAATGTTGAGAAAGTGATTTTGTATTTTTAATGATGGTGGGTGGAATTGCTGAAGGCACCAATGTAATTCTGAAAACATAAAGATTTTGTATGTTTTTAATTATCTAAGGCCTAATCAAATATTATAAAACCTTTTTTAGTAGGGTTTCCAACCATCTCATTTTTTTTCACTGAAATTCCTGTGTTTTGGGAGATACCCCCCACCCCAGTTCCATTCTAACCAGAAGGCGTTGGTCACCATATTGAGGTTCATTCCTCAGCTTTTACTTTAAGGATTGGTTGCTAGGAAGCTCAGATCAAATTTTATTTCCAGTTTAATCCCTTTGCTTGTCTGCATCTTTGGTTATCAACACCTCTGAAATCCTACTTAACTCTTGGTCTTCCAACATATTTGGAGAGGCAGATAGAGTAGTGGTTGACAGCACCAGTGAAATTAGATTGTTGGATTTAAAACCTGGGTGCATCACTTATGAACTGCGTACTCCACCATGGAGAAATGTATTAACTTCTATGTGTTTTCTATGTGCATCTGTGACTAGCAAACAGTAGTAGTGCCTAGTTTAGAAAGCTGTGGCATCAGTATTACTTGTGAAGTTTTTGGTGGAATGTTCCGTATATAGTCGAGTCTCAAAAAATGTTGGTAATGTCATTAATGATGGTTTTATTGATCATCTTTTTTAAGTCTTTTCAATTTGTTTTGAAAAATAGTGGAGTATAAATAAATGAATACATAAAATCATTGCTAAGTTTTGTCCTGTTTTCCTCTGAAAGTAACATTATGAACATAATTTTTCTGGGTACATTTTTTGGCTGTTAGGGTTTGCAGGTGTCCTGACTTTTTAGTGCCTGTTAGGATCATCAAAAGCCTAGGAGCATCTCACTTAACTTCACCTACTCTGTGGGAGTGGCAATCCCAGGCAAGGATGGAATCCCAGAAACTGAGTATTCACAGGTCGTTCTTTGCAAAGTCCCAGGGCCTTCTGCCACTTGGACTGGACTCAGGCCCATGCACATCTATTGGTGTCATAAGTTCCTCGAACTGTTACTCTGGCTAAAACAGAAGCATAAATAACCATGATCGAGTACAAAGGGTACAGGTTGGGTTGGAGATTGAGGACAATATTCCCATGGAAGCTAAGCACATGGTCTGCAATCAGAGATCTCTATACAAATGCCAATCCTACCAGTTACTGCCTTAGATTGGTGATGATAGTTTACTGACGCTGTCTTCTCATCTGTAAAATGGGTTTAATGACCCCTTCAGGATGGTGATGAGCATCAAGTGAAATGACATTTGTGACATATAGTGCTTGAAAGATAGAGTCCTATAAATGTTATAGGATGTGATTTATGATTTTGTCTAGTAGCTGATGAACATATGTGTTAACATCTTTCTTTTCTAAACTGCTTAGCTGTAT